TGGCCTCCCTCACTGCGGAGAGAGGAGGAGGAAGGAGGAAGAGGAAGGGCTGCAAACAGCCGAGGGCTGGCAGCTTGGTGGGAGCGGGTGGGCTGAGCAGCATCAGCTGTGGGGTGGGAGCCATCACCCCCCAGCTGTGGCCAATCTGGCCGTTAGCCAGCCCTCCTCGGGTTTTTGGGTCTTTGCAATTGGAATCTGCTGCTTTTTGGCAGGGCTGCTCCAGCCCTTCTCTCTCTGTCCCCCTCCGTTTTGCCCCTTTGGGGGACGTTTCTTGGCCCGGCTCCCACCCTGCCCCATTGAGCTGCACAGTCCTTGGCTCCAGCTCCATGCAGGTACCCCGTTAAAGAGGTGGTCAAAGGGCTGTTATTAACCCCCACACCTCCCCTGGGGTCGGAGGTGTCCCAGCAGCAAACCTGGAGCCCCGCTGGCACTGGCCGGGGTGGCCCTGGGCACGGGAGATGCTGTTGGGGCGGTCTGCGCCCTCCCCAGGGCCTCTCTCCCACACACAGCCTATGGCAGTGGTTTCCCCCAACCCATTTTCCACATTTTGTCCATTTTTGGCCCAAACTCCGGCTGTCCCACAACCGTGCACCAGCCTAGAGGTGCCTTGGTGGTGCGGAGGTAATTGCAATTAGCGGGGCCCCTTGCTTCTCCTGTTTCCGTCCTCTGCTGCGGTGGCCCAAGGGCTCCCGGTCAGCCTTGGGGACAAGGCCACGATTTTCTTTTGCTGGTGTTTTTGGTGAAATCCCCCTTTTCTTGATAGGAATCTCCTCCTGCGGTGGGGATATGGCAGCGGGTAAAAATGTCTAATCTGTAGTTTATAGAGCCGGTTCCTGGGCAGGATGAGACGATACCGTCCAGCATCACCCTCCACGAGCTGCACAGCGTGAGATCTCCAGCGCTTCCAGGATGGTTTAACTTCACAGCTCGGCAGCCGAGCGGGGTCAAGGGAGGGATCCAGGGTGGATTTTTTGCTTTATTTTTAAATTTTTGGTTTTAACCCAGATCCATCCCCACCCAGTGTTATTCCCAGCACACTGCGGGGACAGCGTGGGGGCGGGAGCACCCATGGCAGGGCGAGCCGCTGAAGCCAGCGCTGTTAAAATCCCACAAACGCTCTTGAAGCCGTGTCCGCAGGCAGAGCTGCAGGTGAGGGATGCGCAGACGATGCTCTCCCCAGACAGCACAGGTCTTCTCACCCCACCGGATTAATTAATAAAGCACTTTTTGAAACGATCCCTATGTGGCCCAGAAAAGCCTCCCCGGAGGATGCTGCTGAGTTGGGCAGGAGGCTGCTGGGGCAGGACGATGCCGGAGAGGGTGCGCGGTCCAGGCAGGACACATTGCAGGCAGGGTCTCCTCTTGTCCCCCATCATTTGCCACGTTGGGTTGCAGCCGCTTCCCGATGTCGGGCTGAGCCTCAGCCAGAAAACGAAGGGGGAAAGTGAAAACAAAAGCCCCCAGCCCCGAAGCAGCTCCCAGCGTGGCTCCTCGCAGTGTTTTCAGCTTGAATTCCTTGCTGCCCCTTTCCAAAGCGTGGCCCAGGGCCTGGCGTTAGCTCTGGCTGCAGCTGGTTAAGCCCAAATGAAAAGTTATTTTCAGATAAAAACAGCCTCCTGGCACGTCCCCTGGGATGCTGCTTTGGGGCAGACCCCGCCGGTGACTTTCTGTTGTTGCTGTTTATTGCATTGAACCAGTGCCTAAATAATTTTGAGATTAAGCAGCCAAATAAATAGCTGAGCTGTGCGCTGGTATCGCTCCCAGTGAAACCTCAGAGATGCTACCAACCCCCAAACCGCAGCCCTCAGCCCCACCTCTGCCTCCCTGCAAAGGGGGATGCTGGTACCCAGACTTTTTGGGAGAGTTTGCATTGGAAAGAGAGACAGCCTTTTCTTGGAAAGCAGGAAAAAACCCCACTGCGGGGATGGTGGGAAGCTTAGGGGTTGCTTTTTGGGAAAAGGGGGGGTTCAGCACCCCACAGCCGGGGGCGGTCTCACATGGGGCCGGCTGGGAGCGGGGTCGGTGGAGATGGGGCCAGCTCTGCTCCGGGCAATAGGGCACGAAGCAGATATCGCTCCTGTTGGAAAGGCAAAGTAGAAATTGAAATGAAAAAAAAAAAATAATAACAATCAAAACAAAACATGCTGAGTTTTCAAAGGGAGGAAAAATACAAAAGTTGTGGAAAACCCGGACTTTTCTAAAACGAGCACAGAGCGGTTTTGTTTCTTGCAGGCTTTAATCTGCCGTTCCCCAGCTCCGGTGCCAAGCGCCGGCGGTGACGTGGGGTGGTGTGGAAGGCGATGAAAGCCGGGCGCGAGACAACAGCATCACCAGCACAACCCCCCCAGTCCCGCAGCCCTGGCCCCCGGCCCCAACCCCGTGGGGTGACAAAAAGGGGTGACAAGAGCCCTGGCCAGGGACGGTTCCCCTCCACCCAGCCCCGGGCCAGGGGGATGCTGGCCTCTGAGCTGCTGGGAAAGCTTGTGCTGGGAATGTATTTTTGCCAGAAAAGGCAGTTTCCAAGCCATTCTGCAGGGATGTTTTGGTCTGGAGAAGGATATTGTCCCCGAGGTTTGCAAGGTCCGAGGCTCTGTGCTCACTTCAGACCAGAGAGAGGGAGAACCAGAGACAGGAATCAAAAAAAAAAAAAAAACATTTCATGCAGGGAAAACATATTTCAGCCATTTATGTGCACCATGGCGGGCTCTGCTCTTGGGAAGGCAAAAGGCAGAGACCCCATCTAAGCAACACCACCACATATTGAAGCCTCCCGAGTTGACGGAGCACAGAGCCATCCTCGTCCCTTCGCTCTGGTCCATCCTTCGACACCTCGACATCCAGGATGATGAAGAGCCGGGGGAGTGGGATGGGCTGAGCCCCCAGCACCGGCAGACACGGCCGCTGCGGATGGCCGGGGTGTTTCTGGCCGGAGACCAGGATCAGGGCAGCGATCAGAGCACAAGGGCACCATTGACTTCTGGATCGATGGGGAGGGCAGGCTCGGGGTGGTCCCTGGGTGCCGGGCAAGATGCTGGTGCCGGATGCTTCAACAAGGCAAAGCTGCTGCTGCAAAAAAAAAATCCTTCTTTGCTTTTTGGTAGGCGACATCTCCCCAGAGATGGGGGAAAAGAAACAGGCAAAGGGCAAGAAGATGCTTTGGAAAGACGCAGCCATCAGCCCAGGTGGTACCCTGCCATGGAGGGACAGTGGGGATGCTCCCACCTTGGTGGCCTTGGCAGCCACCTGAGGCTCAGCGCCCGCCAGCGGTGGGTGCCCAGCCACCCCCAGCTCCTGGGTTTCTGCCAGAGCCAGAGATGGACTTGGTGTTAAAAAAAAGTTTTTTTTGCGGGGGAGAAGGACCGGCTCAGAGCCTGGCGTTGTGCCTCCCTGGGCGGAGGGAGGACAGCCTGGTGGAGGTCTGTCTGTCCCGGCGTTCGCACGAGCCGGTGCCACAGCTGGCACCCTCCAGCCCCTGCCTTAAAAATACAAAGGTGAAGGCTATTCCTCCAGTTCCTATTGATTTTAACCATGCCGCAGCATTGCTGCCTCGTGGCCGTGCCATGGCCGGTGGGACCTGCCAGCTCCTCGCCCCCTGTCCCCACAAGCCCTCCTGGGTGGGCATCACCCACGGGGACATCGGAGGGACACCGCGACCACGGGCCGGGGAATCAACAGGAATCAGGGCTGAGCACCAAAGCAGTGACCAGCCCACGCCTTCACCGGCGGCACACGTGGCAAAGGCCCTGGGAAAGAAATGCCAGAGCAAAAATGGCTCGTTTGCAAGAAAACGGGCAGCCGATGCTTCCCTTCCCCGGGCTGCTGAGCCCGGAGCCGTCCCCCGAGATGGGATACAACCTGCATCCCGCAGCGCAGCCTCACCCAACAGCATGAACCCTGTTTTTTTACTGCATTTCTTATTTTATCTACTTTTTCCTACTGCATTTTCCTGCTGTGATGGGTTTTTGGAGGGGTTTGTTTCTGTGCTACCCTCTCGCCAGGGATCGCACCACGCCAGTGCCAAGCCCAGCTCTCCGGCCTCATCCCGTCCAGCTCCTGTTCTGCATCCAAAGGGCACCAAATAACGCGACGGCACCCAACGGGGCCCAGCAAAACCAGCACCAACACTAACCCCTACCTCTGTGCCCCATTGCATCCCTCCCACTACCTGCATCCCTCACTCATCAGAAAACAGCACAAATAAACCCTGAGCCGCAGACGGGCTTTGGCCACCACCACACCCTGGTGACCCTCTTAATTTTGCAGCTGCCTGCACAGCAGGAGGGTGGGCAGCAGCCCCTCACCTGCTGCCTGCAGCTCCGCAGGCACCTTTACATCCCTACTCCATAGAAAAAAAACCAAAACAAACCTTGAGCTTATCACCTTATCCTGCAAATATTCAGCAGCTGGTTATCGAGTATCCTTGTTCTCAGCAGCTGAGCCTGGCTGGGGGGGGCACGGCCTCGGAGACCCTCTGGGACTGGCTGCCGCAGGCGTGCTGCCCACCCCGAGCATCCCGCAGGCGAGACGATGAGGCGAGGCGGGACCGCGTGGCATTGAGATAATATTTAATAGCCCCATCGGGCTTACGTGCTCTGGTCAAGCAAATTTTCCGGTGGGTTGAGGCTGGGCAAGGGGACACCACCCCCCAGAACATCCCCCCACCCCAAGCCCGCTGAAATAAAGTGCTGCGGGAGCTGGCGGGGCTTCGCCCGCCCTGCGTCCCCATCCCGCAGTTTGTGTTGGGTCTGAAAGCGAGGGCTCCTCTGGAAAAGCCACCAGGAGAAGGGCTTGTAAGGCCATCGAGAGGCAGCCAGGAGAGGACAATCTCACCGCAGGCAAGTCCTCCCCCAGGAGCAGCGGGTCAGGACCTCCCTCTTGGCATCCACTTAAAAACGCTGCCCCCGAGCCCCTTCTGGACGTGGGGTTTTGGGGTTGCTGGTGGGTGCTGTGGGCCAGGATGAGGGACCGCGGCGTCACGGGCCCTGAGGGCCGTGGGGACGTCAGACCCGCGCACCTCGCTCCATCCCCACCGCCCAGGAGCTGGGCCGGGGCTCGCCGGGCTCCAGCAGCCGGTCCGAGGACTCGCCGGTGCTTTCCAGTTTGGCGTAACCCACCAGGCTGACGTGGTCCAGCCGGGGCCAGCTCCGGTTCTTACGGTCCTTGATGGGGGCCACCAGCAGCACCCCCGGCTGGCCGAGGTCCAGGGACTTGGAGTGTCCTGGGGTGTGGAGCTGCGCATCCAGGCTGAGCTCTGCCACCGCTGTCTCCGTGCCGGGGCAGCCACCATCCATGTTGATGATGACATGGCCACCACCATCGTCCTGGCCACGGGGTGGGATGCTGCTGCCGCTGGAGAGCGGAGCCCGGGAGAGCCGCGGGGCTTCGGTGGGGGGCTCGGTGGGGCCCCCCTCCACCCTCTCGCCAGCCCCCCGCGCCGCCGCATCCAGCAAGCGGTTGTTGAGCTTGATGACAGGCAATGCCAAGGCACCGACGGCCGAGGAGAGGAGGGACTCGGCTCCGGCGCGGCAGGAGAGGCTGAGGTTGGCCTCGGCGGAGGCGCCGGAGCGGAGGCTGAGGAGGGAGGCGGCGGGGGATGCTGCTGGGTGCTGGAGGAGCTCGGCTGTGGTCTGGAGCCGGTTGGGGCCGTAGCAGTCGGACCACTTGCTGCCAGGGCCGGGGCAGGGCTGGCAGGAGAGATCCACCTGGTAGCAGCCCTCCACGCACTCGGAGTTGGCCTTGGGGATGGGCTGGCCGTCACCGTGCTGGCAGTGCCCGTCCTCGGGGCCGGTCCCCTCGGGGAGACCCGCCGCCATGGAGTAGAGACCCTTCTGCATCAGCCTGCGGGTCTCCATGTCCCTGTTCTCGTACAGCATGGTGTTGGCACAGATGAAGATGAAGAGCCCGATGCCCATGATGACGGGGCCGATCAGTTTGAGCTTCTCACTGTGTGGCACGTGGCGCCCGGCGGCCACCTCCCTCCTCATGTCCCCTGCGGTGCTGGCATTCCCCGTGCCAGCCCCGGTGCCCCCGGGTCCCCGGTGGGGCCAGTAGCCCACCACGGCGATGGTCATGCCCACCAGGACCACCGAGATGCCCACCATGACGAAGGCTCCTGACGGCGAGCGCATGCGGAGCTGCCCTTTCACCGGGACCTCTGGCGGTGACTTGCGCCGTAGCCTGCGTCCCCGGCGCCGCGACGGGGCGGGGGGCACCGGCAGCTTGGTCCCCCCTGCCTCTGGCTCCCGCATGGGTCCATTGGTTTTGGCGCTCTCAGCAGTCATCGTCTCCGGCTCAGCCACTCTTCCTGCAGGGTGGGGAGGAGAAAAAGGGGGAGAAGAGGCATCACTTGACGGGTCTGGAGGTCTGCGTGCCTGAGATGCTGGGAGCATGGGGATGCTGGGAGAATGGGGACCAGTGGGACATGGGGAGCATGGGGACCACAGGGACACTGGGAGCACAGGGATGCTGGGAGCACGAGGAGCATGGGGACACGAGGAGCGTGGGAAGCATGAGGACACCAGGAGCACGGGGATGCCGGGAGCATGGGGGACACCGAGCCCGCAGGCTGCACCACATCAGGGACCAGCACCTTTGCTCTCCTCCTTCACCTGCCTACTCTCCTCGAGTCACTTCTCTCTCCCCACTCGAGAGCAGTGGAAGGGCTAAGGGGCTCCCCCCGACCACGCCACCAAAGCCTCAAAACTCGTATCCCTAAACTGCCTGGGCTGCCCAGGGCAGCGAGGATGGCCAGGACCCCGCTGCACCAGCACAGAGACATCGCTGGCATCAGGGGGCCAAAATGACCCGTCCTGGGCCACCGAGTCCTACGACGCCTGCAAAAGGGCGGCACCAGCCAGCTTGGCTCGACAGCAGCAAGGGAAGGGGCCATTTACTTGCCCACTGGGGAAACTGAGGCACAGCTGCACGTGAAAACCCAAACCAAAGGCCTGACAAAGCCGCACTGCGCGAGGCCCTGCGAACGATGCAGCTCCCCAGTTTGCGCTGCTCGCTATCCAAACAGGACCTAAAAACCTGAATCAACGTCCCATCGGCCTCGAGCCGCTCACCAGACCACGGGACCCACCAACCCAGCGCCCGCGCAGGATTTTAGCCAAAAGCAGCTCTTTTCCCAATCTGCTGCTGTCTTCTGCTTCAGGGAGAAGCCGACCCACTCAGTGCATGCACAGGGTCCTGCCCTTGTGCACACCGAGATAAAGCTCCGCATCCAGGGATTTACGGGGCGTTCCAGAGCACGCAGTATTTTATTTTATCCAGTACCTTGTTTCCTAGATGAGCAAGAAGGTGTCAAAGTTGCTGCCAAAACCAGCCGGCGACCAGCCCGGCAGGGAAGCATCAGCTGCACTGGCACCGTCACGCACAGGGTAAGCGGTGCCCTGTGATATGGGGAAGCTAAAACACGCTCTGAACACGTCCCAGACCGAAAATATCTTTAAAAAAAAATAATAACCTCATGTTGACAGGAATCTGTGTCCTTGCAGCCCGGCTGCTCGCTGCTGTGTGCCCGGCAATGGTTGGTAATGCGGGCTGTGGCTGTGCAGCCCGGGCGGGACGGCGTGTCCGTGCCCTCGCCCGCGTCTCCTGGCACTGCCGGCGCTGCCGGGGGCCGGTGCGGGAACGCTGCCCGGGCTGTTCCCAAACGGGGGCCGGGGCCGTGCCGCCGGCGTGAGCGGGGAGCGCTGGGGGGCCCCAGCCAAGGGATGCTGCGGGAGGGGCTCGCCACACCGCTGCATCTTAAATTGCAAAAGAAAAGCGTTGGGATAGCAGGGCAGCCTGGCGGCATCGATATTCAGCAATTAAAAGCCAGAAACCAAACCCAAGGAGAAACACGCTGGCGGGAGGAGGGTGACCGCTCTAATTTTACTCCCCAAGATGAATGAAGTGCCGAGAGCCAGCGACCAGCACCACTGACGGCAGAAAAATAAGATATTAAGTTTTTTTTCCCAGTCTTAATCATCTTAAGGTGTTATTAGCATCAGAGGGAAGGAATTAAAGATATGAGTTTCAGGATGACAGCGTGTTCCTGGCACAAGGCTGTCAAGCTGTGACAATTTGAATAAGGGAGATTTAAAGGGGAAAAAAACCCAAAATAAAGTCCCAAACAAAAGAACCCAAACCCACAGCCCACTGCTGAGTGGGGTGAGAAACCTTTCTGTGACACAAGCCGATAATCCTGCATTGCAAAGGGGGAAACACAATAAACCGAACGCAATGGTCACCCTGAATGGAAAAAAGAGTTTTAAAATATTTTGGTATTAAAGAGAAACAAGCGGGCACTTGAACATGTCCCAAAGCCTGTGGGGTTCTTTGCCTCCAAATGCCCTGATTTAGGTTATGTTCCAGCTTTCTCTAATTACCATCTTAGATTCGACTTCTCTTAAATTTATATTAAACCCTTTAAATGCCTTGCTGGCTACTTAGGGATTGAAAAAGAGTAAAACCCCCTGAACCACGGGAGCGGAGCAAAGGCTCTTTGACACCGGCGGGGGGACATGTGAACCCCCCGGGGCTGACGGCCCCCCAGGTCGCCCTGAGCACACACAGCCCCCAGCCACCTCCTGGTTTTGCCCCCGAGCCTCTTTAAACCCGGTTCCACCGTTATCTCCTCTAACCCCCCGTTATCTCCTTTAACCCCCCTGAGCCCCGTGGAGCCAAAGCCAGCGCCCGCAGGGACCGGGAGCACCCCGGGTCCCACGAGGGCGTGCGTTGGGTCCAGGCGATGCTCACCCGCGCCGTGCCCAGCTGCTGTTCCCACGCTTTTATACTGGATACAGCCCAGGGTTAAACTGGGGGAGCTGGGGGTGCTTAAAAATGGGTGCAGCAGGACCAGAGGGTGCCCATCCAGCCCGCATCCACTTGGTCCAGACCCAGATCCCATCGCCCCTTCCATCTCCCTTTCCCCAGGCACAGGGATGGAGATACCGGGCAGGAGGGACAGGCAGACGCAGGCAATCTGCCTGCAGGCAGGGAATCCCCTTCACCCCCTCCCCAGCCCCCTGCCACCATCCCTGCCCCAGCCCCTCTCCCCTTATCTCCCCGCTGCCCGATAGCCGCCTGCTTTCCGAAGTTGGAGCATTTAATTGCTCATCGTCGGGGCTGGTTGGT